TAACTTCTATGTGTACCCATTTCAAGTTAATAGTTTCATCTAGATTTTGGAGAATTTTATTGGATATCCAAATTATTTTCCTGGTTGCTAATTTTGTGTCTTCTTTTGTCCTTATAGCAATTAGTGGTGAAGGCAGTCTGCTCGTGATAGTGTTAGTGGTGGTGTTGTTCAGACTGTGACTGTAAGTTAATTTTATTTTTTATGCATTATATATCCTCCACCTTGTGAATCCCCTGTAGTCTGTTGATGTTGATGTTGGACATGAACTTGAATCTTTCCTTTACTCTTGTTGAGTAAATTTTTTCTTCACTGTGAAGTAGTGTACATGTTGGCTGATGAATAGATAAGAGTGTGTTTGGCTATGCTTTAAAAGTATCCTCACAAGTAAATAAGTAAGTATTCTCACAAGTAATAGATAGGCAGAGTTGCAAGGTAAGACACTAACATCCCTCGTAGTTACCTTACTGAAATTGACATACAGCGATCATCCGCACCCACTTGATTCGCCATTGTTGTCATACAATAACATTAATCTAGGTACACACAAATAAGAATGGAATTTAGCATTAGCTTTTTTGAAAGTGATATAAAACTCTTCCTTGCACAACGTTCCATCTGCAATTCTCACTTTTTATTAACCACCACATTGTATGGATAAAATTAATAAATGTGATTGCACACCTTTGTGTTTTCTAAAATGGCATCCCTGTATTAGGTCCATATAATGTCCTTTGAGTTTGACAAAATTATGTTAAGCATTTTATCTTAGTTGCTTACAACTCAACAAAGCTATAGCTACTCCAATAGCAGTAGGAAAATCTAGAGCAATTGAACTTTCAGGAATAGATACAGGATTACATTGTTCTTCATTTCCGTTTTGCATCCAAATCTAAGTCTTAGCTTTGTGTAGGAGAATGATGTTCATGTTCTATGTCTTTTTTGTAAAGGTTTTGGCTTGGAGTTTTCTCTCTTAGTATAGCCATCCCTGCCCCTTCACTTTAATCCCACAACCTCTTATACCACTTTATTTGTTTAACATATCTTCACTGGGTGTTTTGGAATTATTATAGCAAGTCGGTCAAGTGAACAAGGGGCCATTTAGTTGACGATGATGCTGGACGAATAGCTGCCTATAATAGACCAAAGCATAGGGCTTTGTGATTGGCCTATAATAGACCGAAACAAGGGGCCATTTAGTTCACAATTTGAATTGTTGCTGTTCAATGTTTGATAGTATCATAATGGACAAAGAATGACTGTAATTATCAAGGTTACTGTCTGAAATAAAATCTTATAAATCTAGTTTCAAAATTTAACAATAATATAAAATGATCATACAATTGTTGTTGTAGATTTTCAGAACAATACAGAGATGGAGCACAAAAGTTCGTAGAACTAGCTTGTAAAACTCTAAATTCAGAAATGATAAGATGCCCTTGTATCAAATGTAGGAATCTAAAGCATCACAACTATGAAATAGTATATGAACATTTGATTATTACTTGTATGGATCCTACGTACACTGATTGGGTATTTCATGGAGAAAAACCAAGTAAATCAAATTTGGTCGACGTAGAAATGCCTGAGTTATGTAGGATGTTTAGGGACTTCTATATGTAACATGATGTAGATTCTGAAAATCCTCATGATGGAACAGAGGAATACATTCAACGTTTAGTTAGCGATATGGAAACTCCTTTGTATCCTAGTTGTATGGCGTTTACGAAGATGTCAGTTTCAGTTGCTATATTTAAGCATAAAGCTGCACATGATTTATCAGATAATGGTTTCAATGAACTCATACATCTTGTGCGGTACATGTTACCACAGAATAATACACTTCCTAACTCATTTTATTTGATGAAAAAACTTGTCAATACATTTAATCTTGGCTATGAGAAGATATATGCTTGCTTGAATGATTGTTGTCTACATAGGAAGGAGCTTGAACATGTTGAATTATGTCCAAAATGTGGTTGCTCAAGATGGAAAGTTAACCAACAAACTAAGAAAGTTCAAAAAAAAATTCCAGCAAAAGTCTTGCGTTATTTCCGTATCATACCAAGACTTAAGAGGATGTTTGGAATAGAAGAGATGGCAAAAAAACTTAGATGGCACTCAAATAATAAGAGTTCAGATGGTAAAATGAGGCATCCGATTGATTCACTGGGATGGAAAATGATAAACAGAAGGTGGCCACATTTTGCGTTAGATCCTCGAAATATTAGATTGGGTCTTACCACCGATGGATTCAATCCTTTCAAAGATCTTAACTCTAAATATAGTTGTTGACCAGTTATTTTAACTATATACAACTTGCCTCCCTCATCATGCATGTCGAAGGAAAATTTGATGTTGAGTTTATTAATCTCGGGACCAAAGCAGCCAGGTAATGACATAGATGTTTATTTGGCACCACTTATAGATGATTTAATATTGTTATGGAGTGATGGGGTTGAGATGTATGATGCAGTTGCGAAGTCTACATTTAACTTAAAAGCTATTTTGATGTGGACAATACATGACTTTCCTGCGTACGGAAATGTATCTGGATGGCCCATCAAAGGAAAAATTGCATGTCTTATTTGTCGTGAACATATATGTTCAGTATGGCTGTCCCATTGTAGGAAGTTAGCATACATGGGACATAGAAGATTTCTCCCATTGAGTCATCCATTTCGCATGAAAAGGAGTTAGTTTGATGGACATATTGAAAATGGCATTAGGCCAAAGATAAAAACTGGTGAAGAAGATTCCTATGAAATTGATCAAATTGCAAATGATTGGGGCAAAAGTGGTAAGCGAAAGAGAAAGAAGAACATGACTCAATCCAATGTAACATGGAAGAAAAAGTCAATATTTTTCGGGCTACCATATTGGAAGGTAACTCTAGTTATATCATTTCCTTTTTTAATACATCTAACTGCGTTTAGTATCTCATGAAACAAGTGATGTTTGATTTGCAGACTTTACTTATACGGCATAATTTGGATGTGATGCACGTGGAAAAGAATATTTGTGAGAGCATCATTAGTACACTTTTGAATGTAAAAGGAAAATCGAAAGATGGTATTAACTGTCGTAAGGACTTGGAAGCTATAAACATTAGACATGATCTACATCTTGAGAGTAGAGGAAATAAAGCTTACTTACCTGCAGCTCCTCACACTTTATCAAAAAAAGAAAAACAAATATTTTGCAAAAGGCTTGCTAACTTGAGATTACCGGATGGTTATGGTTCTAATATTGGAAATTGCATTTCAGTGGAAGAATGTAAGATAGTTGGACTCAAGTCTCATGATTGTCACCTTTTAATTCCACAATTACTATCAGTTGCACTGAGAGGACTTTTACCTAAAGGACCAAGGAACTCTATTTTTAAATTGTGTTCATTTTTCAATGAAATATGTCAAGGAGTCGTAGATAGGAATAATGTTGAAATTTTAGAAGAGGATGTTGCTGAAACTTTGTGCATGTTGGAAAGGTATTTTTCGCCTTCCGTTTTTGATATAATGGTTCATTTAACAATTCATATTGGAAGAGAAGTTCGTCTATATGGACCAGTTCAATATCATTGGATGTACCCATTTGAGAGGTAGTACTCCTTATCCCCAGAAATTAAATCCACTATCAAATTGATTTCTACTTTATTACTTTTTTGGAAAATGTGTAGGTATATGAAAGTGTTGAAAGGGTACGTTATGAATTGTGCAAGACCTGAAGGGTGCATAGCCGAACGATATATTGTTGAAGAAAATGCAATGTTTTGTAGCAAATACATAAAACAAGTATCTGAAATAGGCTCTAAGTTTGCACGCAATGAAGAGTATGAGAGTGACTTCTTAGTTGCAGGTCGTCCAATTTCCAAAGGAAAGCCACTTGTACTATCTAATGAGATGCTAAAAGTTGCCCATCGCTATGTATTGCGGAATAGTGTAAAAGTGGCTCCATACATACAGTATGTTTGTGAAGTATATACTTTTTGGGATTTTAAGTTTTTCAAGATTTCTTGATATATTGTTTTTTACTTAGGATGCATATGGGTGAACTCAAGAGTTCTGACAAACGACTTGGAAGAAATGAGAATTTGTTGCATAAGAAACATATTGACACGTTTGCCACCTGGTTGCACAATAAGGTTGAAGTACATATATTAATGTGTTTATACTCATAACAGATTACGGGTCAATTGTTGCTGGACAATGTTTCAAATACTTTAAAGTCGCTTGCACATGGCCCTAGATGTCAATCCATGTCATATTCCAGTTTTGTAATAAATGGATTTCGATTTCACACTAAAGATGTCGAAAACTCTCGCCAAAATAGTGGCATTTTAGTTGAAGCAACAACCATCTGTAGATCTAGTGCAACAGATAATGCACATGTTTTTGGAAAAGTTCTTTATTATGGAGTTTTGCGCGATATTATAGTGCTTGACTATAATACATTTCATAATCCAATATTCAAGTGTGACTGGACAAATATTGTGAATGGAATAAAGAAGGAAGATGGATTCACTTTGGTTAACCTTCACGAAGGACACTGACAATTTGAAAATGATGCTTTCATTTTGGCATCACAGGCGAAACAAGTTTTTTATTCTAGGGAGAATGAAACATCTAATTGGTATGTTGTTTTGCAAGCTTCACCAAGAGACTTTCACGCGTTATATATGGAAGAAGATACTTCTTATGAGGCAACTATTCCATTGGATGTAACACAAATTAAAGACAATCATGAGGAGGATGAGAATTTTGCAAGGATAGATGTTGAAGGCATATTATGTGATATATAAATTGATTAGTTTGGTAAATGTCGTTATACATATAACTATTTAAATTCAAGTAGTAGAACTTTGAATATCATTCTCTTTCTCTTATTGTTTGCAGATTCGTGCTCTCTTAAGTGACTTTTTGGAACTAGGTGATATTATTAAATATACGCATGATGGATATAGGTCAGGTGTGTGTTTCAATACACTTCTTAAGATGGTAACTTTCGAGAATAATTAACTTTATGCTATGTTTTCATGTTGCATTGTTTAAGTCAAATAAGCAAGCTTCCAAGAGTTCTAAAAGACGAAGCGCTGCGATTGCTATTGCAATTCGGGAGACAAATAAAAGACTACGACCTTCTAGTGAACCTAGAGATACCATGTCTACTCCAATTACTGGTGATCAAAACATGACTTCGACAAGTGTAGATGCTACAAAAAAGAAAAGAGGTCCAACTCATTTGAAAATGGTTGCTGAAAATAACTATCAGAAAATGGAGCTTGAATTCAATGAATTCGGGCAAGTAGTTGGCCATAACTTTGATAAATTTGTCAGCACAGCCGGAGCCATAGTACGGGAGTACGTGCCAATTGTTATTAAAAATTGGCCTTCAGTGGATGACAATAAAAAAATTGAACTTTGGAATTTTATATAGGTACATTTATTTAATATGATACTTTTTTATTATGGGTTATACATTTTTCCTTCAAATCTTGATTGCCATTTTCAATCCCATATCGACTATTTTTAGTATTTGTGATAATTGTAGCAAAGATTCAATGTCAATGACTGCCATAAAAAAATGGCATTTCAATGTATGGGAACATATTTGAGGACATTCAAATCGAGATTGAGAAGAGATATCAAATGTCAAGTATCATCCACCGTGAATAGAAAATGCGCTATTGCTCTTCTTAGACTGAAGAATATAACCTTAGAAGAAGCATGGGAGAAGTTTGTAGAAGATACTCTTTCCACTGATTTTCAAGTAAGTTCTATTTTCGTATGAACTTTAAATTTTGTAGTCAATTATTGTTGATTTATATTTTTTTCCTTGACAGAAAAAAGTTCTAAGTTCAGCAAAATGAGAAGTAGTCAGAAGCTTCTCCATACTATAGGTCGAAAGGGTTATTCACGTATGGCTCACAATTTGGTACAAGAACTATCTTTCTTTATTTTTGATATGTGTCTTTATTGATTTCATATACGTGTCTATGATTGAGTTCAATATTGTTATTGTAGAAAAGAAAGGATCCAAATATAACAGGATTGAGAACGACAGTATGGACTCATGGACATCTTCGAAAGGATGGAAATCCAATAAGTGAGGCGGTTGCTGAAACTTTGGTACGTGTATTGTGTGTGTGTGTAGATCTAGTGTAATATTTAAGTTTCATAAGTGCAGATGAAGATAAAAGATTGTGCTGAGTCAATTTCTGATACACCAGCTGAAAATTCTATTCGAGATGATGCTGTTGCTCGAATTTTAGGTCCCCGAGTGTCGTGGATGAGTAAGGGGACTTGGACTTGGGTTACACCATCAAAAATAGATGAAAATACACAAAGCAGTGAGAAAGTGAGAGACCTTGAGAGCAAATTACAAACTCAATCAGTAAGGATGGAAGCACTCGAAGAAAAGGTTGAAGCACTTCTGAAGTTATCCCAGGTTATACTTTGCTATTACATAGAATATGATAGCGTAACTTAATATATCTTAACATTTCAATAAGTTTAAATTTTTTGTATTATTTTGCAGAATCAAAATAAGAATGTAGAGGATATGAGTTCACGTGCTTTTACTCCACAGGTTTTTGTATTGTATATTATTTTTTCAATATAAATTCAGATTATATCATACTAGTTTTAAAAATAGACTTTATTTTAATGCGAATTTGTAGTCTCAACAAGGAAGTGGTATGAAGGGAGGTATTGTACCAGTGGAAAATGGAAATTGTCAACTATTGCACTGGTACTTAGTTGAGGAGGAAATTGTAGGCGAAGGGAAGATTGCATCAATAGACCCAAGTACAAATGTGTATCACGTGCCACAATGACGAGATTGTTGGAAGGTTTGGGTTGACGAGGTGTACATGAGTCATTTGCCCTTATATAGACCAACGGAAGAATTTCGAGTTCTTAGTGACGCCATAGGAATTACTATTGCTTGGCCAAAGAGCTGCGTTAGACTTATTTGACGAAGGTACTTTATAAATTTCTGCATTTTTTTCCATTTACGTATTTGTCATTAAACATGTTTCAAGAGTGGCTATATATGTGTGCATACACAAGTCTACAACATTGAAGGTGGAAGTTTGTTCATGACATTACTAATGAGTGCACAATGACTTCTCTTAAAGAAGAAATTGATCTTATTTTTAAAAATCGATCAAGTTTTAATTATGAGCTTGTATTCTTGAGTGTGTGATTCAATTTTTTCTTTAAATGACATAAATCTATTGCTATATACGTTGAATGAGTATAGACTGGTTATGTAAAAAGAATGAATATAGTTGTGTC